AACTGAAAATAAAAAAGGTCACACACTGCAGCTGAAAACTATAATTACAAGTAGCTATAAACCAACTTCTATCCCATATGCTGCAAATCACATGGAGACACTTGGACTCCACCTCCTCTCCAGCCCTGCTTGTGCTAGGCTCATAAAACACTGCAACATGTCTGCTCTAGGGAAAACCAGCCTGGAACAGAAGATTAGATATCATCAAAAACAGCAATATTACTGCTCAAAGGCAGAACAGGACAGAGGAAGCACTAACTCTTGTAATAACTTCCATGCAGTATACCAGTAATTCTTTACCCCCCGGCCATCATGAAGTCAAGCTCCCCCAGTCAGAGGTGCAGGGCCTGGGTCAAATCAGCCTGTGCAGGGCCCCACCCCTGGATGCAAAGAAGCGGGCAGCAAATTTGACAGCGGCGTGGGGGGGAGGATGCCAAGCGGCCAGAAGCAGCGGATTCAGGGGCAGGGGGTGGGGTGTGCCGAGCAGCTGGATGTGAAGCCGGCAGCAGCACAGATTCTCCACGGCTGCTCCGCCCAGCTCCGCGGGGCCCCTCAAAGTGCAGGGCCTGGGGCGGTCACCCCTATTTGCCCCCTCCACCCTGGGACAGCCCTTCCCCCGTCTTCCTCAATCACCCCATGCATTGGGCACTAGAAAAGCAGGCCAACCTGGAACACGCTAGTGGATTTACCACTGTGCAGATCCCACAGTCCAGCTATTGCTCCCTGGAGAGCCTGAAACATTATGGCTGAAGTATCCACTTCAGTGTAAATTGACCTATGGCTCCAGTTGCTTCTTCACTTCCCAAGGACCCCAATAAATATCTTCTGCCAAATTTGCCTACTGAGGACTTAGTGTATAGAAAAGAATTCTTGTCTGATGGCCATACACACCAGGAAAGCCAATTTAGACTGGATATAAGAGAAAAGTTCTTTACGGTGCATGTCTCCAGGGTCTGGAACAAACTCCCTCCAGAGGTGGTGCAAACACCTACTCCGGATTCCTTCAAAGAACAGCTGGATGTATTTCTTGCTGGGGTCACTTGATCCCAGCTGATTTCCCATCTATGGGGGGGGGCTGGACCTGATGATCTCTTGAGGTCCCTTCCAGTCCCTAATATCTATGAAACCTGTACGACGGACTAAGGGGCTCTCCTACTTATGGGACACCAAGTGTGAAATTGCAATCAAGGATCTGACTTGTGATGCTACCCCAGTAAGGTCCAAGCTTTCTGATGCCACAATTAGCCCTGAACCCTCCCCAAGTGTTACTCCAGGCCCCTTCCCCTGCTCT